CTGTTACATTATGATTATATATTCAGTGGCATAAAATGGTCTTTAAAATGACAATAATATCGCTTATCGCAATTATATCTGGGGCAATGTATCGCACAACAAAAAGTTGTTATCGTGACAGGCCTATTTCTGACCCTCCATAGACAGCAAGCGTCCTACCATGTTCAAGTGGTTCAGCCGTAATTTTATGAAGCTACGAGAATACTTTTTGTGCTCAAAGAAAACAAAAATAATGTTTTATTCAAAAATAATAATTTATACAAAAATAATCATTTATTTAACAAGTTCACAAGAGTAACACGACGCATGTGTGTGGTGCTGCTGATGCAGGAGCCGGTGTTCTGATGTGGAACCCGGATGCGCTGTGGCTTGTTTACGAGCAAAGGAATGCACATTCAAGAGTCGTGGTAGTCTTGTGAATGGTGGCAGAAACTGACTGGAAGTTACTAGTTGTTATTTTTTTATTTCTTTGTGCACAAAAAGTATTCTTGTAGCTTTGTAAAATTACGGTTGAACCACTGATGTTACATGGACCATTTTAACGATGATCTTACTACGTTTCTGTGCCTTGACTGTGGTAGTTACCTTGCTGTCTATGGAGGGTCAGAGAGCTCTCGGATTTCCTCAAAAATATCTTAAAGGTCCCATATTTTACACCTTTCTGGAGTTTTATTTTAGGTTTTGATGTCCTTAAGAATATATATTTGCGGTATAAGTACCAAAAACCATCTCAATATATATTTTTACAGCTCCTTTCTCAGGAGCTCTGCTGAGAACGGTCAATTTTGGCCTGTCTAATTCATATTCATGAGCCTCTCTTCTGATTGGCCTGTTGGTTCCTGAGTGACGCACGGCCAGGCCAACTACAGGTAACTAGGGTCAGCTGACGTCACAGCACTAGCTGGAGGCAGCAAAACAAAGGGGAAACTGGAGGCGGCCCATTCAAACCAGCGAAGATTCGGCTACATAAGGAGCTTAAAATATCATCTTGTTGTGATGTTGGGTGCCAGAATCGACGTAATACAGCCTCAAATTACAAATTTGATCGCATATCTGCTGCCACTGCCAGACAAAAAACCGACGACAGCTGTGGTTAAACGCGATAAAACGAGCGGACTGGACAGAAACGATCATCAAAAATGCTCTCGTTTGCAGCGCACATTTCTTATCAGAAAAGGTTCAATAAAGTATTGTCTTTTGTTGTTATGGGCGCGTCTACAGATTTCTTGCCATATGTCTATGTTTCTTGCACCTCACGATTATGTCGTGTAT